AAGTCCTATGTACTACCTCGGCCTGCCTCCTGACTACTGGAGGGCAGTCAGGCCGAGGAGGCAGCTCTTGCCAATGTCGAAATGTGCCAGGGGCTGGCGTGCAGCAGCCTGCTTGAGGCTGGCGTGGGAAACCGACTAATAATAGTCTGTTTCCGAAACCCTGGTTCGGTGCCTGAGTTTCAGGGCCGGTCGTTCTGATGAACGACCGAAAATGGCCCTTCGTTTCAGGCTAAAAAGGCTGTTGCCATTTTTAGTCTGAAACGACCAGGGATAGGCCCTGGACTTCAGGCTTTTGGCCTGAACCGACAGGGGGTCTGTAAGCCCTGGATTTCAGGCTTTCAGCCTGAAATTCAGGCTTCCTGAAATCCAGGCTTTCGGCCTGAAGTTCAGGCTTTTGGCCTGAACGCTGTCGAGCCTGCAAAATGGCCGTCGGGCCTGCAAAATGGCCCGTGTGTGCACGCGCTGCATGTAACACCCCCCCCTCCTTATGAAGTCAAGCCGGGGCTAGGGCGAAGCCGTCGATCTGAAGGTGGAACCTGGACGCGGGCGCGGCGTGAAGCCGAAGAAACCGGCTTGCCCTGCATGTTGCGTTCGTAGCGTGCGAGAACGTCTGGAGCTGTTGCTTGCAGTTCCGCACAGGTTAACCAACGGTCAGCTCGATGTGTGCAGTAGGCAAAATGCACCAAATACTCAATTGGCTTGTTGCCAAAGCATCGCTGGGAGATGATGTCGCCGACCTCCTGAAAACCATCCATAGAAGGTGGGTCTTGCGTCCGTCTCCCGGGAAAGTCGTCATGATCCGCTGGCGTGTAGAGAGCCAGTTTGGAGCAATGAAAGACTGGGTAGACAGGCAAGTGGCTAGGCACCTGAATCGTGAAGGAGGGTCCTTTGGGTGCGTCCCCAGCGGGCTCTATGATCGGCCAAGGCCCCATCCATTTCGGGAGGAGCTTCCGAGAGACGTCTTGTTCAAGGCTGAATTCCGTTGTTGAAACCCAGACGAGGTCTCCGGCGCGGAATGGACAAGGAAGACGCTGGCGATTTGCCTGCTGGCAAATGCGCTGTTGCGTCTTAGCCATCTGGTCGCGTGCCTTGACAAAAAGCTCTTGCATCCGATGCAAGAAAAGAAGATGGTCGTCGCTCTCGGCCGTGCGTGGAGTAATCGTGTCCAACGGTGACGTGACCGGCGAGCCGTGCTCGAACTCGAAGGGCGATATCCCAATAGCCGGGTGGATGGAAGAGTTGTAGGCCAACTCAACGTCCGACAGTCGCTCAACCCAGTCTTTCAGGTCGGGGCGGATGAGAGTGCGAAGGAGAACCTGTGCGGTCTGATGCGCCCTCTCCGTCTGGCCATCGGTCTGAAGGTGGCGAGCTGACCTGGGCTTGAGAGATGAGCCCCATCGCTTGATGAGCGCCAACCAAAAATCGGACATGAACCGAGTGTCGCGGTCGCAGACGATCTCCTTGGGGTAACCCTTGGTGCGAATCCAACGGCGTATAGAACCTCGGCCAACTACGGTGCCTTGGCATGATAGCGACAAGGCAAAAACATGGCGAACTTGGTGAGTCGGTCGACCACCGTGAGAATCCCATCCACTCCGGTCTTGTGCTTGGGGAACGGGCCGGTGATGTCCATGGCAATCGCTTCCCTTCGCCTCAACGGGACTGGCAATGGTCGTAGCTCGCCGTACGGACGATGGTTGCAGGATTTGCAGCGTCGGCAAACCTCGCATGACTCGCAATAGCGCGTGACGTCGCCGAGAAGGCCGGGCCACCAAAATCGTTGGGGAAGTCGGCCAATCGTGCGATTGACTCCAAAATGTCCGGTGGCGGGAGCGTCGTGGAACTCGCCAAGAAGCCGTGTACGCAAGTGAGGATCACTTGGTATACAAAGAAGGTCCTTCCCCCGCGTGTGGACAAGCAAGTACCCCTCCTGGATCCGGTAGTGAGAAGGAGTCGGATTAGGCGAGGAGCAATTCGCGTACTTGTCGCGAAACTCGGGGTCGGCTTGGTAACCGCGGATGAAGCTGTTCCGCAGGTCATCGTCAATCTCGAAAGTCGAGTAGACCACGGTACAGTGATCCGGACGTCGTGAAAGAGCATCCGCAAAACAGTTTGACTTCCCGGGAATGTGATCGGGAAAGAAGTCGAACTGGTCGATGAAAGCCATCCATCGAGCGATGGTGCTGTTGACGGTGTCTTGGGTCTTGTAGAAGACCAACGGATTGTTGTCTGTTACCCAGCGAAATTGGCTTCGACCAAGGAGGAAGTGTCGCCACCGCTTGAGCGCGTGGACGAAGGCGAGGAGCTCCTTCTTGCGTGCATCGTCAATGGAATGCACGAGTGGCACTTTCTTGCTGAAGTACTCGACCAGGTGCCAGTCCACACCATCATGTTGCTCGAGGACTGCACCAATGTCATAGCCTGACGCATCCGTAGTGACACGTGTAGGCGCGAGCGGGTCGTATATCCGCAAGACCTCCGCAGACAATAGCGCGGCTTTGAGAGCGAGGAATGATCCCCGCGCCTCCTCTCCAAAGTCAAACGGCCGATCCTCGCACTGAAGCTTGTTCAAGTGGACCGAGATCTTGGAGTAGCCTTTGATGAAGCGCTGATAGTAGCCGGTAAGACCAAGGAACGAGCGGACATTCGTGACGTTCCGAGGCTCCGGCCACTCTTGGACGGCCTGAATCTTGTCCGATAGCAGACTGATGCCCTCCGGTGTGACAAAATGGCCCAAGTATTCCAGCTCTTGCCGGACAAATTCGCACTTGTCGCGGTTGGCCTTGTACTTGGCACGACGGAGCGTCTCCAACACTCATCGAAGATGCCCAAGATGATCCTCCAATGTCCGGCTGTAGACGAGAATATCGTCTAAGTAGACCAGCACGAACCGGTCCAACATTGCACGGACCTCATTGGTCATCGCCGCCTGGAATGTCGTCGGGGCGTTGGTGAGGCCAAAAGGCATGACCACCCACTCAAAATGCCCATACCGCGTCTTGAATGCGGTTTTGTAGCGATCATTCGGCTGAATCGAGATTTGATGRTATCCTGATTTCAAATCCAACTTGGAAAAATACTTCGCACCGCCCAGCTGCTCGAGAAGATCGTCGATGCGAGGAAGAGGCCCCGCATTCTTGATGGTTTGCGTGTTGAGCTTGCGGTAGTCGATGCACAATCGTAGATCCTTGTTCTTCTTCCGGACGAAGAGAACTGGTGCTCCATATGGGGAACTACTCGGGCAGATCCAGCCCTTAGCCAACAAATCATCGAGTTGTGCGCGGAGTACCTCAAGCTCCTCCTCGCTCATCCGATAGATGCAACCTTTCGGCGGCACGGCACCGGCCTCAAGAATGATCTCGTGAGAGATTGGCCGACCCGGCACCACACCGGTAGGTGACTCGAAGATGTCGGCGAACTCGTCCAGCAACCGCACCACCCGGGGGTCCGAAGACAAGTCCGTAGGTGAAGAGTCGGCAACTGCGACAATCCGTAGGAAACATAGGTCGATTTCCTCTGGCTGCTCGTAAGCGCACGTCAACCAGAATGATTTGGCCGTCACCACTTGGCACCGGATCGAAGAGTGCGGTACAGGAATCGTACACGCCACTTCTGCGCCGAAGGCGTCGCGAACGCTAAGAGTCCGCCGATGGAAGTTGACTGTGTGATCCGCACTTGCGAGCCAAGGCATTGCCAGAATGATGTCGAAATCCGTGTCGAGAATATCGAATGTTACCGGTTCGCATGCATGAGGTGCGAAGTAGACCGGTACGGCCTCGATGTAACGGTCAAGAAGTTGTTGCGTCTTACCATCCACCAACTTGATCGTCGTCGGGTTTGCCTTCCTCCGAACCTGAGCGCCAAGGCCAGCTCTTTGCATAAAAGACTGGCTCATGAAGTTGCGAGTCGTGCCGCTATCCAGCAAATCGCTGCAGGATGCTTACCCAACCTGGATGCGGACATACATGAGCGGTGCATCGTTGTTATCGTACCGCTGCGTGCGAAACTCGCGGGCCACCTTGGTAACGTACGCCAGGATGTCCCCCACCGCGACTTGGTCATCCGTCGGCGAAGTTGGTGGTGCGTAGAAGGAAAGGTAAGTGTGGAGATGAGCGCTAAGTGTTGCGCATTGCGGTCCAGGCAAACAGCCTGTGGTCGGGAGAGGAAGCCATGCAAAGTCCTCAGACGTGAGCGGGTCCAAAACCTCTATCTTGAACTCGCGCGCTGAATCCCGTGATGAACCACTTGAAGACGATATGTCGCTGTTSCCGGACGGAGAAGAAACCGCACACACTCCTTGTCCTTGAGCCTGAGTACCCAGCGTTGGAACGAGTCGGGCAGCATAGTCCTCAAAAGAAAATAGAAGTGGAGGACTGTCGACTTCCGCGTGCGCCTCGGAATGAAGGCTGGTCGCTCGCGAAGAAACCAGTTCCGAAGGCGTCGAGAGTGTCGTCGCATCACTCTCGGCGGTGCTCAATTTCCCTGTCGACCTTTGCCCTTCAGTGGGCAAACCGGTGTCAGATGAAGATCGTTGTTGCACCACAGGCAATAATGGAATCTCTCGCGCGCCTTATAGACGGACTCGGAGAGGCCATACGGGGTCCATGGGCCTGCCTGAGCTGCTGCACCGAGCCCAGGGCTAGAAACGGTGTGTGTCTTCGGCTTGCCGCGCCCTCGGCCTCTGCCGGCGCGGCCACCTTCCCGGGCGGCTGCGAATCTGTCTCCTTCACTGGCAGACGCAGCCTCGCTGGTTTGGTCTAACGGCGCTGCCGCTGCGACCACGGCCACTCGTGGCCGATGCTGGTTCCCGCTCGGGCCTGACGCAGAAGAACGGAGGTTCTTGGCCTCCTTGTTCGTAACGATGATCTGCGCCGCCTTGTCGAATAGTTCCGCCGTCGTCGTCAAGGTGTCCTCGACATGCGTCAGAGCATTGCTCAATGTCGGACATGACCTTGAGATGCAATAGTGGCGGATGGCCTTGAAGCCCATCTGGATGTCTAGGACTGACGTCAAGCGTTGGTACTCGGCGATCCAGTCCGTACTCGGCAGCGAGCCTTGCTCGAAGACCATAAGCTTGTCCATGGCTTTGATCTCTGGCGGCTCCACCTGGAACCGCTTGTGCCATGCCGCCTTCAGATCATCCCAGTTGATCATGGTGTGCAAGTCCACTTCTACCACTCCGTACTTGGACAACAAGTTGTCCAACCACGCCTGACACACGCCCCCTGAGCGAGAGTACAAGTAAGTGTGGTGCTTGTTTTCCTTTGACGTTGTGGAGCTGGTGCGTGAGCTCGAACTTGCGAAACCATGGAATTGGATCTGTCTTGATTGAGTCGTGGAAGATCTCCTGCCCATCGAACTTAGGAGTTGTCTCGCGCGGCTCCGGACTCGAGGTGGTGGCGGTAGTGCAGATCCGCTGCTGCAATTGTTGCGTCGCGGTCTGCTGTAACTGTGCGCCGTCCTGGAGGGAGCCGACGTGCATCTCCAATGCGGTGAGGCGGTCGGCAGTATTGGAAGAGCCTGTGTCGGCGACGGCGATTGGTCGCTTCTCCACCCGCTGAAGGCGGCCTTGGAGGTTAGCTACCGAGTTGTCAAACCAAGGATCTCCGCCTGCTGTGTAATGCAGGTTGCCAGGAGATCCGTGAGATGCGAGAGGAGGAGCGCTATCTTGTTTGCGCTGTCCTCCAACTGGCTGTTCTCGGCCTCGCTTCGCCATTCTGCTGCCATGGTAAGTAACGCCCGCTCTCCGGTGAATATCTTCTCACGACGCTGTGGTTGCCGCGGCAGCGTCATCTGCCTGCTTCTTTGTCTCGAAACTCCAGGCTAACATGCGGGCCTGATAGGCCTTGTCTGTTTCCCCGGTCTTCTGGTCCATGACTGTTGTCTGTGAACGCAACAGCATAGACCAGACCGGTGCCTGCTGATGTGGTATCCCTTGCTGCTGACGTGGCAATGCTGACGTGTCTTGCTGACGTGCCCTGCTGACGTGGCCTGCTGACGTGGTCTGCAGACGTACTTACGTAGCCTGCTGACGTGTCCTGCTGACGTGGTCTGCTGACGTGGCCTGCTGACGTGGCAACTTACCAATGCCGTCACAAGGGGTACCCG